GGGGGGGGGGGTGGTTGGGGGGGGGGGGGGGGGGGGGGGGGGGGGTGATGGGACCGTTGATTTGGAGGTGGTCTTGGCTCCCGCGACTATGGTGGATTTGGAGTTGGATTCGGAGTTCATGTATTACGTGTCGGGTTATTGAATTGTTCATGGTTTGAGTGTGACGAGTTTGTGGACACTGTGACAGTTATAGTTGGTGATTGGGAGAAGTGGAGGGATGTTTTAAGGAAATGTTTAATTCGTATTTTATTATCACATACTATAATCATCTCACATTTTTTTTGTCGCTAATTTGATCTTTTCGAGAGGGGTGGCAGTAAGGTTCAAACACACGACTTAACAGTCTAATAGTAGGTTACAATAGCCTTTTTTTTTTTTTGGATTCAATAGTTGTCTTGATTAGTCTACATGCACCTCAACTAAGATCATCTTCAATCTAGTTACAGGTAGACCATTCACGTGAAAACCAGAGAATTTAAGAAAGATAAATCCCTCATGATCTAACTCGAAAGAGTTGCAGTGGCCATATAGCCAACTGTTGATCCTCAATTATCCCACCTGTGAAGTTGCACAATTTATGGAGAAAAATGGATTTTTGTCTAACCCATTAAAAAATTGTTCATAGAGAGAGATTCCTAGCATAACGATAATTTTATTTCATTTGGACTTAAAAGCTAAGAGTTTGAGTCTTACAAACAATCTCTATTTGTATAGCCATATAGCCAACTGTTGATCCTCAATTATCCCACCTGTGAAGTTGCACAATTTATGGAGAAAAATGAATTTTTGTCTAACCCATTAAAAAATTGTTCATAGAGAGAGATTCCTAGCATAACGATAATTTTATTTCATTTGGACTTAAAAGCTAAGAGTTTGAGTCTTACAAACAATCTCTATTTGTATAGCCATATAGCCAACTGTTGATCCTCAATTATCCCACCTGTGAAGTTGCACAATTTATGGAGAAAAATGAATTTTTGTCTAACCCATTAAAAAATTGTTCATAGAGAGAGATTCCTAGCATAACGATAATTTTATTTCATTTGGACTTAAAAGCTAAGAGTTTGAGTCTTACAAACAATCTCTATTTGTATAGCCATATAGCCAACTGTTGATCCTCAATTATCCCACCTGTGAAGTTGCACAATTTATGGAGAAAAATGAATTTTTGTCTAACCCATTAAAAAATTGTTCATAGAGAGAGATTCCTAGCATAACGATAATTTTATTTCATTTGGACTTAAAAGCTAAGAGTTTGAGTCTTACAAACAATCTCTATTTGTATACAAAATTGCATAAATCTAATCCAATTCAAAACTCGCAAAAGTATAAATACTGATGCACTGAATTGCATATATCGAACCTTTTTTTTAGTTCTTTTTGGAAATAACTTAAATCAATTGCTGATTTTTATTTTTTATATTTAAAAAAAAACCTTAAACTATGGACCCCATGCACAAAATGGAACATTGCATCTGGGGTTACCTTTTGTATTTCAATTTATCACTATAAAAGGAGGGAAAAAGGATTATGCAGAGAGCTTTGCCTAGTCTTTTCCAAGGCAAACCATCCCCGCATGTGGGAGTGGGGCTATCAATACATTGAATATCATGGATTCATTGTCATAATCAGTTGTCATCCAAACAAAGAGTATGCTTATAGATTCTGTGATCCCAAAACGGATTCACTTTGTCTCTCTGTTTGTATCCAATAACTAATCACACTCATTAATCACGGTTACATTTCATCAACGTTTTTAAAACCGAAATATTATATTGGATCGATTGAGGAAGTTATAAAATTGAATAAAGAATCATAAATTCCTATTAATTAAAAAAAATGAGATAAAAAATATATGTAGCAATATAGAATTCCCAAAAATAAAACTAGATAAAGTTAGTATATATACTAATGGAAATGCTATGACAAACATAATTTTTTTTTTGGAATGGTCAAACATAGAACTTAAAATATGCTTAAAATTGGATAAACTACAACTTGAATACTGCAGAAGGTTTAAATCAAAGGTGAATTGTTGTTAATCATGTAGAAATTTTCAAAGAGAAATATGAGGATTGAAGTATTTTGATCTTAAATTTCAAAGAGAGAGAGACTAAAAAGTTGATATGTTGTTGAATTATAATATTGAGTATACGACATCCAAACAAAAAAAGCAAAACAGAATAAAAATATTAGACTATTTGGCTATGATCACTCGCCGAGAGAGAAAATTAAATCTAACTGTTGCTTTAAACTTTTCAAAGAGAGACGAATGAATAAAAAGAGTCTTTTGTGAACGAAAAACATGAACTTGGTTGCTCAACAACTAAGTGCACCTAAGAAGCAAACCTAACAACTTGAATCAGTAAGATCACAATTTAGATCGGAATCCTGCATTCCCATGTAGACCCAGATCGATTTACTTATAACCCATCATATAAGATCTTAAAATCCAAATCAGAATTTTGATAACCATGCATTTCATACTCCTCGTATATCAAATACTGCCTATAGCATTACTGGATTTTGATCCCTGTTCCCTAGAAAACTACAAGGCAACCAAAGGGGACATAGGGGGGTATCACATCAAAAAAGAGCAAAACAATGTTCCATTGTTTTTGGTTTTCAATAATTTGTCTTCTTAATCTTATAGTGTGTGTTACACAAGAGAACTTAAATCAAATCCTTTTACTCTGACTGAATTGGCATTCCCATAATTCAAAAGAAAAATTAAACAAAGGCCCTCTTGAGCCATCAAATTCTGAGAGATTTTACATGGTTTCTTCAAAGCAGTTAACCCAACACAAAACAATTTGGATGGAGAATGACAACCAACTAATGCAAAAAATCTCGAATACACTACAACAATTTCTCTAGGACCCAAAAAATTAGCATAGTTCTCATATAAGGGCATAACTTACTAAAATTGACCACATTTTAAAAGAAAAACCACCTTGGCCATACATTTTCGTCTCGAAAAGAGATGGTAGATATCACCTACAGAATCTAAATTGCAGTGTTCAACATTTCTGCTAAGCGGAGCTGTGTTCGGGTGATGCTTGACAAATAGAGCAAGAGTAGTTGGTCCTACAAGGTTAAAAACCAAAGCAAATTTATGGTCAAATAGAGGTGCCATTGAAACAAAATCCGGGGTTCTTCACCAACTAGAAACAACAGAATTGCGAATAAGCTGCCAAAAGGAAAGCATAATAACTGATTATGGGTTAAGTTATTACTTCCCATAATAAAAAATGGATGAAGTAATATCTTAAGCTCACATGTGAAATGGCACAACAAAGTCAAAATTACGGGACCAAAAGGGTGAGGAATGGAGGGTTCCCCATCCCTTCAAGCTTATAGGAGCAAAATCATTTATGGATTATCAGAGTAACCCCTAGACACATTTTTCCAAACATAACACTATAAAAGATTGCAATTTCAACCTTTGTCTATGTAAAATGAAGTTAACCTACCTGTTGACTATCATTCACGAGCTTATCAAAAGCTTGTGGTGATAATTTGGGAATGGAGGCTGCAAATTTTCAAAACCTTTGTCCATGGGATTTTGTCCTGTTCACACTTCATCTTAACCTAGAAATTTACATTTAAAAAAAGTCTTCACAATGAGATTTTAAAGTGCACAGTCTGATTTCCATCAATGATTCACGGAAGCTCCAGAAAAAAATTCAATCCTCCAAGAGAAAAATCCAAGGAGAACAAAAATGATAAAATCTTTGACCCCAATAAGCCATACAAATTTTTTCATTACTCCTCCCAATCCAAAATCACTTATTGACATATAAAACACAAATGGCAACATAACTTCAAAACTCGAAATTTGGTACATTGTCAACCATGGGGTCTTTTGGAAGCCGGTACACTAAATTAAATATAATTGTATCAAAGTACATAAAACAAAATATTTTAGAAAAAAGTATATAGTTGAGATACAAAAACGTAAATGCCAATTTTATAAAATTTTCTTTCTTAAAAACTTTAACAAGACATTTATTAAGCGCTAAAATTTTGGGTCATTTAATTTAAAATCTCTTATCTTTAATGCATCTTGATTCATGCGTATTTTTTTTTTTCGAAAGTGGTTTTATTTTTAAATTATATTTATTTTTAAATATTTATTACTATTTGTTTTATAGGAGAATTTTAATATTCTATTTATTTTAGAATATATTTATGCATTAAATCTTGGTCAATATAGCATTGTTGCTAAAATTAATAACTACTTCTATGTAATCAAATTATTACTCAAATAAGGTTCACTTTATTCACTTAGTATTTTATTATTAGTTGATGCTACCACGTTGCATTTAATATTTACTCCTTAAAGGTACACTTGTTTAAAATATCAAGTGTGTGGCCTAAAGTTATTGTTTTTGAAAATTTGTATGACAAAAATACCCTTTAGAATATTCTACCACTTTCGTCTCCTCTCTCGCCTCGAATTGTCTTGTCTTCTAGACATATTCAAAACCTTAGGCATGGAATACAATGAGAAATTCCTTCTTTCTATCAATAACGAAGCTCGTATGGAGTGGAGCTCTGCGTAGTGCAGGTAAAGCAAGAGAGACTACGAAATTGAGACAGAACAAGAGCGATGATTATTAGGCCAAAGGAGAAAGTGAGGCTAGGAAACTGATTTCGGTGTGGACTACGCGTGCATTGAAGTATACAAATATCAAAATAGGAGAAAGACTTTTAAGTGCAAATCCATTATTGAACTTGTCTACAATTACATTGGGTTACAATGTTGAGTTTGGTCCTAACCATTGTTTGTTTGTAAATTTTCCATGGTGTTTGTTATCCCCAGGATATATTTATTTTCATTGGTCATACCTTAACCTTAAAATCATTTATTGTTGGCATTATGACACAAAGCATTTCAATCAAAGTCTGAGAGTAATTTCAATCCTTACCATTTTCAAATTTGAATTTAGGTAAAAAAAAAAAAGTGTTTCTCTAATCTTATACTCAAACTCATACCAAATCATGAAAAACTCAAATCTTCAATTGTTATATTTTATTCTCTTTTAAAAATCTAATATTCATATTTTATCCTTATTTAAATTCGAGTTTTCTGCATTAGAGTGCATTGTATCAAATTAAATTTTTTAGTCAAATGTTGACTCAAATTTACAAGGTTGGAGTTGTTTTAAGATAAAACATTTTAATTATGAGCTATGCCCAAATGGCATTCAATGAAATGCATTAGAAACTAAAACCCAAATTCCATACTAAACTCAACTTGGTCAAACATAACAGTGTGTTAATAGTGATGACTAACTAAATTGGATAGACTTAATTTCGCATTGAACAAAACCTGTTCTAAATTGTTATTCTTTTCTTTACAAAAGTCCACCTGGGTAACCCCACATCATAATTAAGCTACCCAACCGAGCTTCTCATCTCGGATTAAGAGTGCATTCTACACATCATCTTCTTTAATGCGATATATAGGAGATACATAGGTTGTCTAGTCTCACTCTCTTGTGCCACTGTCCAATGTCACTGGACTGAAGAAGCACCTTAGAGTAGAATTACATTTTTATGTTTGATTTCCGATTTGTCCTTTAAAACCAAATAAAATAAGGCTTGGACATCATGACTTGGTTTTCTTCAAAAATGGACTCGCCACCGAAAACACCAAATTTTTTTTTTTAGTTGTTAAGGGCATTTTCATTCTTCAGCCACACTCATAAATTTGAGTAAAAGCAGGGTAGAAATAACTCACAGTCCTTTATTCAAATTCATACTAAATGAAGGAACATTCAATTTTTTTCACTCAAATCAAGGGAATCTTAGATCTTTACTCAAATTTTAAGTAGTCAAATTTTAATCTCTTTTAAAAATTCATTAGTGATATTTTATCAACCTTTAAATTTCAGTTTGTCATCTTTTAACATTGAATACTTCATTGCAGTATTTTTTATGAAATCAAACTTTTTATTCAAATTTTAGTAAAAAATTAAGTCAAACACTGACATATTTAAGGTTAGGATAATAGGGGCAGTTGCCCCCACTCCAATTTTAAACTATTTTGGGCTTCATATGAAAATTATTTAGGATTTGCCCCACTAAAAAGTTAGCCAAAAAAAAAATTAGAGGCAAGTCTTTACAGATATGGATATAGAAATTTTGGATTCGATTGTGATCCGATATGATTACATATAACCATATAACCATATATATTAATTAAAATTGAGTTATTATTTAACGATATTGAGTTAAAATTAAATTTAATGTTTTAAAATTTACCTCTAATTTAATTATTTAGATGAAAATAATTTTTTTTAAAGGATTTGATATGAACTTTAAAACTTAGGTTCGTTGAATAATAAGAGCAAAGTTTTTAAATCGGATTCGAATGAATTAATATTTTATGGAAATCTTATCGTTAACAAGCATACTAATGATTTATTTGTAAGGCGCAACGAGTATTGATAATGAAACTTAAAATTTTATCTTATGTTTGGGGAACTAATTCAGAGATTTAATTCAATACAGAAACTAAATTAGCTGTGACCTTCAATGTCAAATTAAGTTAATTTTTAATCGTACAATTATAATTGATTAAGTCCTTAAATAAAAACAAATAACATTTTTCTATGTATTATGATTCAATCTTCATCTGAGTACATAATAAAATTCAAACTGAATTGAGTAGTCAAAATAGAAAGCTTTTCTAATTCGTTTGAAGCAATTTAAGAGTAACTTCATTAGCCATTGGGGAAAATGTTATTGTAGTTAATCTAAAAATCTAATCAATTATAATCTTTGAGATAAAAATAAATCAATTATAATTGTTGAATTAAAAAATGGTTTTCATCAAGCTCATAATTTAGGGAATGAAGGATAGTGGAGGCTAGATTGTTAACGGGTACCAATATTAAATTGACTCCATTATCAATCTCATGGTTATTACACATTAAGTCTCAAATTATATCCCAATAACATTAGTGTTGTTATGAGCAATGTTATTTGAATCTAATTTATAAGACTTATTCATTTATATTAATTGAACTGATGATGAACATCAGTATTTGTTGGAGTCAACAATCAATCCTATAATTATGATGAATTAGGTTAACAAATTCAAAAATATTATTTGGATTTAATTTGTTGACTTAATTGAGAGTCCACCGTTAATTGAATAGTTATGAATAATTAGGTGTTTGTAGCTTTGTTCTTGATGGTGCTCAAAATCTCTTTACTGATCAATTGCAGAATGACGAAGGGGGTGAAGCCTAGTGGGGCTTGGTGTGTGCTTGAGATAATGTGAGTTAAGGGTTTGGAGATGAAGCAAAGACCAAAATATGAGTGGTTCACCTTAGCCAAAAGACTAACACTATGTCCACTCTTGCCTCTTGAGGATTATATTACTTTAAGAAGAAGGTAACAGTTACAGTATTCTTGGCTAGCAACCTATACAAAATATTTCTTAGGTAGCTTATGGAACTCTATCTTTTTTTAGTGGCTTCGTCTTCTAGCTGTCTAGGGTTTCTATAATTCTTCTTTTTTTGACTAATTATGTGGTCCCCTCCTCGTTTGTCTTGTAGCAAGATTTGTTAGCTTGACGTTTTCTACGCCCACAATCTTTGAAATGGAATGTATGCGATATTCCCTTTTTTAGGGAATATTTGTTCGTTAGAGTCAGACATTGTCCCTCTATCCCTTGCCCATGTGGCATGACTGGGGTTACTTGAGGCTAGTCTTGTGCGGAGTTCCTTATTCTCGAGTAAGTACATGTCGTTCAGCTTGCTGGGACCAAGCTGGTATATATCTTGAGTTGGACGATCCTGAGCTTCTACAACCCTGGGCTATGGCATAGTCCCATTATATGGTGGGCGCTATTTAGATGGGCCATTTGGGTTGTTCTTTAACGGATCTACTGGGTGTTTTAGGCTTTAAGTAAGCGACTTAAGCTTAAATTCATCATCATCACTTCTAGTAAATTATGTCAACAAATAACACCCAAATAATGGTGTTATAAATGTGTTAGATCCTGATTAGGTTCGACATAATTGCTCCCACTGAAAAAGTAAGGTAAATTGATTGATAATTGAATAGTGAGTATTGCTACCATTGAAAAAGTAAGGTAAATTGATTGATAGTTGAATGGTGAGTACAAGCTCGGAATATTTTTCACTTTGTATGGGGTGCAAAGCTAACCACCACTTAGACTAATGTACAAAACGCGGATTGAGAGGGTGGTGAGTAAACATTGAAGATAAGATTTAGACGACGGATTGAGAGGGTGGTGAGTAAGCATTGAAGATAAGATTTAGATGAAATGAATTTAGGGTGAATCGATGGTTATTGACAGTGGTCAAAGGGACACCGATGTTTAAATCAGATCGTGAGTAAAAAAAAGTATAAAATGAATAGGTCAAGATTAAATTGAATTACCTAATATTTGTGGCCTTTATTTATAGTGGTAGTAAGATATGTCGTAAAAAAACTCGAATTGTTGGTTGATTGTCTAAACTCTTTCACCAAGTCCAATAAGTTCGTGGTAGAATTTAATTAGCACTTTGAGCCCTCGATCCTAATCACCAATCCTTGATTGCTAGAGAGAGAGAGAAAGAGAGAGAGAGAGAAAGAAAATGGACGTGAATGAAGCAATTTTCATGAACGGAGGAGAAGTAGAATCAAGCTATGCTCAACACGCATATGCTCTATTTTCCATACATCAACTCGTTCTACTTTCCAAACATCAATTCGTTCTTTTGTTCAAAAAGGAAAATCATTCACAAACAGAACTTAGTTTGTAAGAAAACTTCATCCAAATCATCATATCAATCAATAGTTATCTCAAGATCATTTTGCACATCAATTTTTGCTTCAAATTTCTGTTTAATCAACATTTTTTACAGATTGATTCAATCTTCTGATCATGTGCAGCAAAAAGTGATTTCCATAACCAGACCTATGCAAGTAAATGCGGTTCATTCTCTGTTCTCAGAAGATTTCCACCGGAAAAAAGTTCTCAACGTGGCTGATCTCGGTTGCACGGCCGGTCCGAACCCTTTGTCTGTCATTTTAATCGTCAAAGAAAGCTTGCAGAGGAAATGCAAGGCGTTAAATTGCCAACCGCCGAAGCTTCAGGTTTACTTGAACGATCTTCCCGGTAATGATTTCAATTCCCTCTTCAAAGACTTGTCTAGAATCGGTGAAGATCAAAAGAGTGATGTCCTTCTTCCATGTTTTGTGATGGGAGCTCCTGGTTCATTCCATGGCCGCCTCTTTCCTTGCAGCTAGTTGCATCTTGTTCATTCCTCCTACAGTGTCCACTGGCTCTCTCAGGTTTGCATCAATCTTCATACTCTTTGTAAACAAGAAATCTGAAGTAGGCATCTCAATACTTCATGTGGTGTCGTATTTGTAAATCAATTCAAAATTTATTCAACTCAAATTTGATCTATTTTAGGTTTGTAACATGTTGGATTTGTTTCTTGCAAAATGTGTATTATATTTCAGTATCGACTTATTTACTTTATATGTTGTATAGTTCACAAGATAATTATCCAAACGATCTAAAAATAAATTCAAACCCACTCACTTTGTTTGGCTCTGGATCCTGTGTCGGATGTACAAGTTGTCTATATAATTGACAGTCTTAATCCTCATGGTTAATTGTAGTGGAGGTTTCAAAATATAAAATTTGTCTTATTTGGATTCTAATATTTCAATTACATCATTTTGATTTCTGAAATATTGAATATATTTCAATGTGGTTTCTCAAGCAGACAACATCGTGTGATACCTAAAATATGGACAAAAAATAATTTGGATAACTCTTAACCAAAATTTGGGAAATTTTTCACAAAAAATGTGTAATATAAGTAGCTCTTGACCAAATTTTAGATCGCTTATGATTAAAACTATGTAATTTGTATAGCTCTTAGACAAAAATTTGGCTAAGAGTTATCCAAATTATTTATTATCCATATCTACGTATTACATGACAAGTTTGTGATAAAAAATTGACTTGAGGGACCACAAAAAAATATATTCAATATTTCAGGGATGAAACTATGTTGCACAAATATGTTTACCAAATCTTATATTTCAAATGATGTGTCAAAATCTCATGCATTGAATATTTGGTGGAGTTAGTGGACCCTACTGATCTCTCCACCCACATTTATTTGGGATACAAAGTTTGGTAAATGATTTGATAAGAATAGCATTGCTTATACTTCAAGAACCAAAATGATGTAATTGAAATATTGGGAACTAAAATGAGACAAGTCTCATATTTTGTGGACCTCTTGTGCTATTAACCCTAATCCATATACATCTCCATGTTTATATTCAGTTTTCATTAAAATAATTCCTAGTAAGATTTGGAATTTTTTTTCCTAGCTAATAAGTTTTGATATTTCATTTTAAACGGGGAATGGAAGAGAGACCACAACAGTGAAGATGACCAGCAATTTTGAAAGTTCCAAAGACAAAAACAAAAATAAAAACAAAAAGGTTATAGATTTTGAGTAAATAGATATTTGTGACATAGAAATACCAAGTAGATACAAATTATTGCTCTCTCTTAATTTATACTATTAATATAAGGAGAGGAAAGGGCTTGGTGTTCACCCTTGAAATGCCCATAATACCCTTTATTACTTTCTAAATAATTACACATAACTCAGATTTTTACTCCATTCAATAATTTTGTTCATAAAATATCAATATTGTTGTTCATTTTTTTCTAAATAAATAACTATCTCTCTTTTTAACCCTATTTAACTCATAATTCTCTTTTTCCATGGCTAATCGTGTGGGTAGAGCATTTAATGCTTAAAAAAAATAAGAATCCCGAGTTAATAAATTGTTGTAATAGTACATTATACCAAAAATGTATCTAGCACTTTGATCTTTACACTTCTTTTTGATGATCAAGTCAATCAAGTCAATTTTTTTAGGTTTCAATACTCTTCTTGAAATGCTTGTTACTTGGGATTTAATTTTCATGAAAGGACAAGGAGAAAACACAAAAGTAATTTTCATTGTTTTTAGAAAAACATATTCTTAAAAAAAAATGTTACCAATGGATGTCAGAATTAAAACATGACATGTTTGTTTTTGACATGTCACATAAGTACTGATTAATTATTTTAACGTAACTCGATCAACAAAAGGTACCCAAAAGACTTAAAAGCAAGGAAGGCTTGCCATTGAGCAAGGGGAAGATCTATATATCAAAGACCAGCCCTCCTGTTGTAGCAGCAGCCTATCTAGCTCAATTTAAAGAAGACTTTACCTTGTTTTTGAAGTCTTGTGTCGAAGAGATGGTTCAAAATGGTCGTATGATCTTGATACTTCATGGTCGACAAGCCTCAGATCCTTGGGATAAGGAGAGATGCTACCATTGGGAAATATTAGCTGAGGCCATATCTGAGATGGTTTCATAGGTAAAGTTTTTTCAGGAAATAAAATTATTTTTAGAAGCTATAAACGTATGAGGATGTTCATTATCCTTCCCACCCCATTCCAAAAAAAAGACTTCCTAGAGCATGCTTTGCTTTACAACACTCGATACTGCACATCGCTTAGTGTAAAATAATTAAGTTTTTTTTATGTTCGAATTCGGATGAAATTCTCCTTAGAACATGACTTGACAAACAAATAAAGAATTCCCGAGTATTTTTATTTTTTATTTTTATTTTTTGGGGGGAACTCTATTCCCTCAAAGGACGTCCACCAAGAAAGAAAAAAGAGCACATTGGTGTTTAAGAGGAACAATCATTTTAGTGTGCAAACAAATTCCATTAGGATGTGAGGGGTCTCACTAATGTTGCCTAGGTTTTATTGTGACATTTTTCAATAGGCAAATGTTTTATCTTTGTCCCTCGAGGTATGAAATTACCTAGTTTCTCGGGTTGTTAATCAATCTTTTGAAGGAAATTATACAAAACTCGGTGATGGATGACTTATATTTTTTTCTTACCACTTGTTTGTTCGTAGGGCTTGGTTGATGAAGAGAAGTTGGACTCCTTCAATGTACCATACTACACGCCATTACATGAGGAAGAACAAGATACAACGGACAAGGAGGGATCATTCGCAGTTGAACATANATTAATATAAGGAGAGGAAAGGGCTTGGTGTTCACCCTTGAAATGCCCATAATACCCTTTATTACTTTCTAAATAATTACACATAACTCAGATTTTTACTCCATTCAATAATTTTGTTCATAAAATATCAATATTGTTGTTCATTTTTTTCTAAATAAATAACTATCTCTCTTTTTAACCCTATTTAACTCATAATTCTCTTTTTCCATGGCTAATCGTGTGGGTAGAGCATTTAATGCTTAAAAAAAATAAGAATCCCGAGTTAATAANTGAGGAAGAACAAGATACAACGGACAAGGAGGGATCATTCGCAGTTGAACATATAGAGACATTTACACTTGCTATTCTAGACAACCAAGAGAGAGATACAAGGGCTATGGGAGAACAAATTGCCAAGAATATCAGGTGCTTCACTGAATCAATGATCTCTTACCAATTTGGAAAGGAAATAACGGAGAAACTGTATCACAAGTTGACCCAAATTATGGTTAAGGACTTGGCCAGCAGATCACCGACAAACACAACCGTTGTTGTTATGCTTAGCAGGACCATGGGATAGCTCAATATTCTCAACTTGAATCAGGTGATGGCATGCTCATAAGTTTTTTTAGATAATATGTTTCCATTTAACTTTCCAGCACACACACACACACAGAGGGAGAGGGAGAGAGAGAGAGAGAGAGAGAGAGAGAAATTCCACCTTTTTTCCTATCGCTTTGGACGTACAAAGTACAACTCACATATGGAGGAATGTTGTGGCTTACTAGTATTTCATGTTAGATTGTCGTGCTAATTTTTCTGTACATTTATTACTCATTTACATTGTACACAACAAATTTCACAACTTAATTCAAATTGTGTGATTTTTAAAAAAATCGTCAAAGTCCCTATTATCTTTTAGCTATTATGTGACAAAGTACCTACTTTTGTTTAAAGGTGACCAAACTCTATACTTGGTGGAATTTAACTTATAATTATCACTAGAATGTGTAATAATGATTGCAAAGGCCAAACAAAGACTTTACTTAGATTCTAATTGCATGCATAAATTCTCATTTTTTTTACACACATTCTCATGGTGGGATTATCGACAATAATACAACGTGATTGAATCATACCTAGCACAATTATGTGCTTTACATGTAATCATTAAGTCTTATCTTGGTATTATTATAGAATTCAATGATTCGATTGTATTTTATGCTTGTTACGTTTTCATCATCCGAATAAGTGATGAAATTAAACGAATTAGACTTCACAGCGGCTATGGACATAATGGGGATAAACAAGAAGAAATTGTGCTCCCTAGGGTAAAAGGCCTCAAATCGAGTCTTGACCAAATGTTTTAGCGTCCGAGAGGGGTGTGAGTTACTCGTATCCTTAACTGCAAGCATTTAGAAATGAGTGGTGGGACACACCAAGGTGCAAGCCTTTTTAAGTGGTCCTAGCTTCCCCCCAAATTGTTGGATTTGGGAGGGATAATCCAGAGTTGGTAAGTAAGGATGCGTGAAATAATATTTATGGTGGATGCAATGCATGTGATTTTGGCATTTATATGTCGTGTGCAACGTATGTACTAGCATAATACATGTAACAATATTTATTACCTCATTTGCAGGTAATAGGCTTGGAGATAACAGGACTTCTTTCCCGAAATTGTCTTGAATGCTTAACTTCTTTTAGCATGTATCTTGTTTTGGAAGTTTATGTATTTCGAACTTATGTTGAAGGTCTTTGGCTATGTATTTCTTATGTGCTTTGCTTTGGAGACCTACAAAATATTATGTAATATTGAAACTTAAGGATAACAATCATATATAATAATGCTTGGATGTGTTTTAATAGCTCTTGGATGCCAATTTTCTAAAAGAAAACTCATTACATGGAATCATGATTGACTCACTCAAACTGTAAAATCTTACGAATTATCACTCAAATTATTAAATCAGCCCTAGAAAATTTGGGACGTGACGCAAAAAGCCTATTGATGGTGTTAATTTTTTATATTGGTCCGAAACCATGGAGGATTTGGTGGTTATATTTGAACCATAAGGGGTGAGCCCTCTTGGGCCCACCAGATTTCCCTTTTGTGAAGTATAAGTAGACCAAATTTTTGCACATTTCCGCTTGTTGCACATTTTGCATTCTCTTCCATTTCTTTAGTTCTCTGTTTATTTTTAATAACCATCTCTTGCATGTTTTGATTTGAGTACTCGTCTTTTTTTTGGAATTGTTGCATTACAAATTGTTTGATATGCGAATTTTATGAAAAGTAAATTATCTTTTGTATGAGTGGGTGTGATGAGGGTGAATTACACTCAAATTTGTATTGTAAAGTGCTAGAGGTTTTTCTACCTTGAAGGGTTTAATGGTTGCATAACACTTTTAGGGAGTTTGATTTCTTGCGAGAGTCAACCACTTTTAGTTCACGTAGGTTCAAGGCTGAGAAAGTTTTTTCACTCATTATGCAGCTTAAATGCGGTTTAGTTATATGGTAGAAGGAAATCTTTCAAATGGAAAAGCAAAGTTCTTGATACCTTGCTACTATTACATTATTTACCTACAAATAACAAAAACAAACAAAAAAGATGGGACAAACTTATGATTGAAACTTCATGGCTGGCCACAGATTAAACTTATAGCCTGTTACTCTCTTGGACTAGCCCTGATCATGGCCTGATGGTATTACTCTTCATGGTATTGAAACCTTTCTTCATCTACCACTTCTTATTCTTTTGTTGGAATGTTTACCTCCTTGTAATTAAACCAAGAATCTACAAGTGCATAGAAAAAAAGATTGGCACAACTCATTGCTGCTAGTGTGTAATAGTACTTATCTAGCCGGCTTTTGTTTAGTGTCTCCTTGAAACAGCTTTCACCCCTCTCTCGTTGCTAATCTTTCCCACAACATTAACAATTAGAACACTAGCTATGAATCCAACTCCCAAGAAAGCTTCAATGAGTTTGCTCAAATATGACTGCATTGAATAAGGTACTTGATCGACCTAAAAATGGGTCATGTTACTGATGACAATCCCTTGTGCAGCACCTAAGAGGAGAAATTGAGGAATCAGCCAGGAAATACTCATTGGGATTGTGCTATGGGGGATGTCAATTAGGCCATGTCCCTTGGCCACATTTAACCTCCTTTGCTCCACCAGCGTGGCGACAATGCAACAGAAAATGGATATCGTGATTCCAAATCCAATTCCTATTGCAGGTATGTGTTTTTGCTTTACCATTCCAAAAATGCTTCCAATGATTACAATTAAAGAATAAATGCTTGCGGATATATACATGAAGAATGCATAGAAGAATATAAGGAATGAGAACGTTAAGAACCTGAATCTATGAGTTATACTCATGGGTTGCTATAGGAAAAAAGAGGTCCCCATCGAGGAAACAATTCCACAGATGATAAAAGGCATCAACATGGGAATCACAGATGATAAAATACATGGAGTTGAACTTAATAAAATAAGAAATTGAAAGATTTTGTTGAAATTGTTCGTTTGAAAATTTCCCGAAAAACTAATCATTGGTTTTTCTCTCCAATGGAACAATAAAGCCGTTATGCTCATTGGTAAACTTGTTGAAGAGATGAAATATAATAAAGGTATAGAAGAGGGAATAGAGAGCAAACTTACTATGCTCGATGAAAGGCTTGAAACAGAGAGCATCCAATAGTCACCAACAAAAGTCTCCATGGCAACTGACATAACATGTACTAGGCCTATCATGACACTCACAATGGCCGCGGAATGGGTGAAATTTAGCTTCCAAACATCCGATCGAAACATCGTGATGTTCCACATGGAATACTTTGAAATTTCGTTTGCTTAACTCAGCACTTGAAAATCGATTCAGGGAGAAAAAAAAAATCAAACGCAATGAAATTTATTAAGCTAGAGTTAGAGTTACAATGATCAATACAATACTGGTTTGTGTGGTTTGTTCTCCAAAACAGTTTTCTGTTCTCAAAAATAGTAAAACTCTTAAGATGTTGTTTGGACAGAAATTTCCAAAAAAAAAAAAAATTCAAAAAAAGTGGGAATTGAGATCAAAAACTTCTTTGAGTTTTCAAGCTAAAATAGAAAACAAGAAAACAAGGGTAACAACCCAAAACTCTTTAATGAGGTCTCTCCTTCAAACCTCCTTAGCAGTAAAACATGGCATGGTATAAAAAGTTTTTTTTTGCTCGACTTTCCCTCCCAATAATAGACAATCAAATAGAATAGAGCGTGTTGTTTGAGTTGTTTAAGCTCTTAACTTAGAAAAATACAATAATAGTCTAGATTGTTTAGATCTGACGGTTTATATTATGATTTAATACTTTAACTTTTTAACTACAATAACTCATTTAAATAATAGTCAGCTAAAAATAATTAAAAGACAAGAATAATATTATTAGAACATAAAATTTTTATTTAATTTATTGACTTAATAATGCGACTTCGTTGTAACTATTGGAATAACACAAAATTCTAATGTTTGATGGGGATATGATCAATTCAATGATTTAGTAAATTAAGTCCTGATAACATTGCTCAAAAAACAAATGTCTTGGTTCAGTGATAAAAAACTCAAATTTCGTCGCTTAATACTTGTGTTCAAGTTTCTATTACCAAGGCCGGAGGGAGGCATGGCTAGGGTGGGCAAGTGGG